GAGTCCTTGGACCTATCCACGGCTGCTGGGGTTCTTTTGAAGAAAAGGAAGACGGGGAGTTTGGAGGCAGGGGCTCATAGTGCAGGTGAAGTGGCGATGGAGGTAAATTTCTCAAAAAACGTGGACGCGGCGGGTCCTGGTCATCAGGCCTGCCGAGAATTATGAGTTGTTTTAGTTGGAACTGTCGTGGGCTCGGCAATCCGGCGACAGTTCAAGTTTTGGTGGATTATGTCCATCTGAAGAAGCCATCTTTAGTTTTCTTAATGGAAACTTTTGCTACCAGAACGAAAGTGGAATATGTAATGAGGAAAGTGGGTTTAAACTCTTGCTTTGTGGTTGATTGTATTGGGCACAGGGGCCGCTTGACCTTAATGTGGAGGGATGAGATTCAAGTTCATATTCGGAATTCATCTCCAAATTTTATTGATGCAAATGTTCAGCTAGAAGCGGGTAGTCCTTGGTGGCGCTTTACAGGTTTTTATGGGTGTCCTGAACGTGCCCGGCGGAAGGTATCTTGGGAGATTTTAAAATCCTTAGCTACTGGTCCTCACGTTCCCTGGTTGGTTATGTGGGATTTTAATGATCTTATGGTGGAGTCCGATAAGCGGGGGCGAATCGATCACCCCCCTTCGTTGCTCAGGGGTTTTCGGGAGACGGTCTGGTTGTGTGGCTTACAAAACTTTCCTTTCCAGGATCACCAATTTACCTGGGAAAAATGGAGGGGCTCGTTGAATTGGGTCGAGGAGAAGTTGGATAGAATCTTGGTTTTGGTTGACTGGCTTGATATCTTTGGAGGAGCTAGGGCGAAATCTTTAGAGGGGGCTCCAAGTGATCACCTAACTTTGTTAATTAAGTTTACTGGAACTCGGGAGTTTCATCATAGGAGCAAATTTAAGTTCGAGAATATGTGGCTCAGGGATGAAGACTGCCGGTCCATAGTGGCGAAAAGCTGGGAATTGGCGGCTGGGACTGGGAAAATGCAGCATATTGATGTTTGTAGTAAATCCGTGGGAGAGTGGGGTAGAACAAAAGCCGGGGATATGGGTAAGAGAATCAGCTTTTGCAGGAAGCGACTGGAGTATTTACGCCATTTCTCGGATAGTTGGCATCTGGAAGTGTTTGAGAAAGTTAAACGGGAGTACCTGGATCTTTTGGAGCGTGAGAATTTATTCTGGCGTCAGAGAGCAAAGGAGTTCTGGTACTCAGGGGGTGACCTAAATACCAGATACTTTCACAATTCTGTTAAACAGAGGAGAAGGAAAAATTGAATGGAAGGATTACGTGGAGAGAGCGGTGTTTGGGAGACGGACAGAGATGAGATTGGGCGATTAATTGGCAGCTATTTCACTAATATTTTTTCTTCTGTGCAGAGTGCAGGGGAATGCGTGTATGATTGGGTTCCTAGAAAATTGGATGCATCCCATAACTTATTATTGCTTCGGCCCGTGTCCAGCGAGGAGGTCAAGGGGGCTGTTTTTGCTATGTATCCGGATAAATCACCGGGTCCGGATGGGTTGAGTCTAGGTTTTTATCAACATTATTGGGATGTGGTGGGGCCGGAAGTTACACATTTTTTCCGTGACGCCTTCTCTTCAGGTAAACTTCCTGATAGGATTAATCATACTAACATTGTAGTAATTTCTAAGAAGGATAGTCCTGAGGTGATGGGGGATTGGAGACCTATTGCTCTTTGTAACGTTATTTATAATATTTTTTCAAAGGTCCTGGCAAATAGGTTAAAGGAGGTCTTACACTTATGTATCTCAGAGCAGCAAAGTGCATTTATACCGGGAAGATCCATTATAGATAATATTATGATTGCTTTTGAATCTCAACATTTTTTGAAAAGAAAGCATCAGGGTAAGGAATGGTATGTTAGCCTCAAATTGGACATGAGCAAGGCATATGATAGGGTTGAGTGGTCGTTCTTGAAGGGGATGCTACATCATTTGGGTTTTGAGGAGCGGTGGATTGGACTGGTTATGGAGTGTGTTTCATCGGTCTCATATTCCATTTCGTTTGATGATACCGAGTTAGGACCAATCATTCCTACTCGGGGGTTGAGGCAGGGTGACCCCTTATCCCCTTATTTATTTCTTTTAATTGCAGAAGGTCTGAGTGCTCTTATGAAGAAATACGAGATGGCTGGACGTGTCCATGGAGTTGCTGTAGCTCGGGGTGCTCCTCGAATTTCCCATTTACTGTTTGCAGATGATAGTTTGCTTTTTTTCAAAGCAAATCATGGTGAAGCATCTTGTGTGAAGGAAATTCTGAGCGAGTATGCTTTTGCTTCAAGCAGGTAATTAATCTAAATAAATAAATAAAAAATTAGTCCAAATGTAACGGCAGATTATAAGGAAGGTTTAATGGAGTTGTTGGGTGTAGAGCAGGCGGGTAATGAGGAGTTATATTTGGGTTTGCCGGCTTTAATTGGGAGGAATAAAAGGGCTGTTCTGTCTTATTTGAGACAGCGGATGGTAAACCATATTCAAAATTGGAATAATCGTTTTCTATCGAGAGCGGGGAGGGAGGTGTTGCTTAAATCGGTCATCCAGGCTATGCCTAACTATGCAATGAATGTTTTTTTGCTCCCGAAAGATTTATGTAAGGAGATTGAGACGTTGATGAATGGTTACTGGTGGCAGGGAAAGTCTAATAAAGGAATACGATGGTGTAGTTGGGAATGTCTTTGTAGGCCTAAAAATTATGGTGGGATGGGGTTCAGGAAACTGAGGGAATTTAATTTATCCATGCTTGCTAAACAGGCTTGGAGGATTTTCACTGAGCCAAATACTCTAGTTGGGAAGGTGTATAACGCACGGTACTTTTGGGATGGGAACTTTTTATTTGCTAAGCTTGGTTCTAATCCCTCTTTTATTTGGCAAAGCATTTTTCAGACGCAGGAGGTTATCCGCAGCAGTTATTTTTGGCGTGTAGGCCGAGGGAGTGGGATAAATATTTGGAGCGATCCTTGGCTTCCAAATACAAATAATCCAAGGGTAAGCTCTGTTCCAGTTCTGGGGTTGGAAGCAGCGAAGGTGGACAGCTTGCGAATTAAGGGTGGGGCTAAGTGGGATCTGGATCTACTTCTTGACCTCTTTATCCAGCGTGATGTTCAACTTATCCAAGGGATATCGATAAGTTATAGGGACGTTCCGGACAAAATTTGCTGGAGGTGGGAGGATTCTGGGCGGTTCTCTGTTTGGAGCTGTTATAGAGTTTTGGTCGGTGAAGTGCAGGTGGCTTCTTGGACGGGATGGTCTGTGATGTGGAGGTGGAAGCTTCCCCCTAAAATCAAGTGTTTCTTTTGGCAGTTGTGCAGTGGTTTTTTACCCACGACTGCAATCCTGAGGACGAGAAGAGTAGATTGTAATGAAAGATGTGGGTTGTGCGGTGGAAACGAGGAATCTCTGCTCCATTTGTAATGTACCTACCCTGTGGCTTGCGAAGCTTGGCGAGCTGTGCGTTGGAAGTGGGCGACTGGCTCGGCTTCCAATGTCATGGAGAGGTTGCAGATTGAATTTCAGGCAAAGAAGGAGACGGATTTGTGTACACTGATTTGGGGCCTGTGGTGCGAAAGAAATAATCGGGTTTGGAATGGGGTCTCGGCTGATACAACACATTTACTGATGAAAACCCAGATTTTTGTTGAAGGCTGGACCTTGGCGTAGCAGCAAGGAAGAAAGTTGGCAGCACAAAATTCGAAGGAGGTGATGCTTTGGAAACGACCTCGGCCAGGATGGGTAAAGCTTAATGTAGATGCTTCTGTTCGTGAGGGTGGCATCGGTTTGCGATGGCTGCTACGTAATGAGGAAGGAGATTTTTTGGCAGGTGCTTCTAAACCTTGGCAAGGTTTTTTGTCTCCTTGGGAAGCAGAATTAATTGCTATTCGGGAAGCTCTTAGCTGAGTGAAAGAGAATGGTTGGGATTTTGTTGAAGTTGAGTCTGATGCTTCTAAGGCTATTTCGGAAATTTTGGATGGCTCTAGTGTTTCTTTTGCCGGGATTGTGGCTGGGGATGTTAGAGAACTTCGTTCTTCATTTTCTGAGATTTCTTTCTCTCACGTTAGGCGATCAGCGAACAAGGCGGCTCATGCCTTAGCACAGGCAGCATGTTCTATGTCTGATAGCAGTTATTGGATTGATTGTCCTCCTATTTTTATTTCTCATGTACTGAACAATGATGCCATTAATAATAGTTAATTCTCCTTTTCTCAAAAAAAAATGGAATGGGGAATCACTCACTAAGTATTCTCCTGAGCACACTGCGGAAGAGTGCCTACAATAAACACAAACTCCAATACCTGAAAAATATTAGTGAAGGCTCCCAAGGGGGTCCATACACTACAAAAAATCAGTCAGGTTGTCACGTATTTTGTCACGGACTGTAGTGTAAAAAATCCGTGAAAAATTATTATTATCACAAATTTTGCCATGGTCGGAATCCGTGACAATACGGGCATGACAAATCTTTGTCACGGATCAAAAACCGCGATCTTTGACAAAATTCTCACCGGAGCAATGTTGCTGGTTACTTTGTCACAGATTTATCCGTGACAAAGTTTTTTTTTTATATTAAATTGTTATCTGTAATCCGAAATAAAACGGGCGGGGAAACACGAAAATTTGAAATTTTCATTTTGTCACGGACAAAATCCGTGACAAATATTTTATCATTTAAAAAAAAATAGAAAAAATTTAAAATTTAAATTTTAAAATTTTTGGATGGGCGGGAATTTATGTTCAAAATTTGTCACGGGCGACATCCGTGACAAATTTTTTTATATTTTTAAAAAAAGTTTTATTTACTTTTTTTTATAAATATTATTTAAACAATAACAGATAATTGTTTTTAGTAACATTTGTCACGGAACGAATCCGTGACAAACATTTTATATTTTTTAAAAAACGTTTTATTTAAAATTTATTTTTTAAAAAAATTTAAAAATAAAATTTTTGCGGAATTATAACAATTAAATAAAAAAGAAATTCATACACAATCACAGTAATTACAATCTAGGTAATATTACAAACTGTTCCGGGGATTTCCGTAATAATACTGCGGATCATCAAAATCAATGAGAACATCATCATCATTAGGCTGTTCGGGCTCTTCGTGCTCTTCGGGTCGCCTGCCTCCTCGGCTGCTTCCTCCTCCGGGTGTCTCAAATTGTTGGTTATAAATTTCGTATGGAAAAGTTCCGACTGACCCCATTGCAGGCATGCTAAACCCGGGGTTAGAATGATAACCCATATTGCTCATGAATGGAATTTGAGGAGTCTGCTCGGGGTGCATTATATGCATTTCAGGCCGATATGTGGGGGCATTGAATCAATGCATTTGGCGTTCTATCGCTTCAAGCCTTTCTCGTGTTGTTCAGTCCTCTGCCCGTCGCTCCTCCAATTCTCGCTCCAGTTGGGCAATACGTGCATCCTCAACCCCCTATCGAGAAGATGATGAGCTAGTTGCTCCTCCTCTAGAGTCGCGCAAAATCCGTACACCTTCGGCACCTATGCACGGAACCCGGCCCTTATAAACCCCGGCAGCCTCCAGCATCGCCTCATCATCCTGACTTTCATCGAGTTCAATATCTGAGTCAGTCAGGCCCAGCTCGACACGTTTCTTCTCTAACTGTGCCTGATACTTCGCCTACATGTTCAAAAAATTATTATAATAGTTAAGATCAAATTTATTTCATGTATTTAATAACTGAAGTAACATTATTGACTTCAAGTTTGGCGATGCAAGGTGGTAGTTCGGCATCCGACTCATCGCCCTTCGTCGAACAATGTTTGATCAGCTTCCACGTCGAGACCTTCTTTTTCTCGGATCCCGCCTACACGGTTTTCAAATTACTTAAAAATAATTATATATATGAGGGCTGTAATGGTGCCAAGTTTTCATGAATTAGAGATTACCAGATCTTGTCTATGCTTATTCTAGGGTTTGCGGCCCCCGCGCCATTGTGTCTTTTTGGCCTTGTCGCAATTCCGGTTTTGCTTACCGGCTGCGCTTCTTTGCAAAAAATTCGGACCCGAAGACCAATGACGAACAACGTTGTTCCAAACTTCATCGGAAAGGAATCCGGGCTTCTTCCCGGTACATCGGGCAGTCTTGAAAGTGGGTCTCATCCTCTTAGAGACCCTTGAATTATATGCTTTCAGAATAGCAGCTCCTTGTGATTCATTCCATGGATGTTGGCCATTTATTAAAAAAATTTATATATAATTTATCAAATTTAAGTTACTACATTTACGTCGAGAAAATTCATTTATTTTACCTTGAACAGTTTCCACCAAAGTTCATTGACACCGGGGTCAACATCTGTGTAACACCCCCAATCCCCCCCGTGAAATGTCCGCCAACAATATGCTTGATTCGTTCCAACACGTCTTGATCGCTTCAAAAAATTCATAATTGATAATAATATTTATGTCAATTTATAGAAGTTTTGATTACGTTATTTGAAATTAGAAAAAGTTTGTCATTAATTACCTATCAACCATTTGGGGTGTCACCCAAGCCGCGTTTTCGTTGTTGCGCTCGGCTTCCGTTAAGGAGGGATATGAAGGGCGGGATGGACCCGCACCGGAGCTTTTTGATGCGCCTCCACGCGCTCCACCGGCATCGGATCGTTGTGAAGGGGGTGTTTGGGCATAGACAAGATCTGGTAATCTCTAATTCATGAAAACTTGGCACCATTACAGCCCTCATATATATAATTATTTTTAAGTAATAATTTGAAAAAAACAGTATAACCGTTTAAGCATGAACAATAAAACATGTTAGATTACAAAAAGCAGTTTATTAAATATATAGTTTATTCCTAATTTCGAAAAACATAGTTAAACAGTTTATAAATTTTGAAAAACAGTTTATTTTTTTAGAAAAACAGTTTAATAAATATAAAGTTTATTCTTAATTTTTTATATGTTCATTATTATATTTTTTCGAAAAACATAGTTAAACAGTTTATAAACATGGTTAAACAGTTTAGAAACAGTTTATAAATTAAATCTATAGTTTATTAATTTCGGGTATAGTTAAACATGTTCTTTGTTATATTTTTTATACTATAATTTTAAAAAGCAACTTATTTCGAAAAACAGTTTTTTTTATTTTTATCCTAAAATTATTTAGAAAATAGTTTATTTTTTGTTTATTATATATTTTGTGAAATTATAATTAAACATGTTAAACTTTTTTGCAAGTTTAACATGAGGGGGGCAATTTTTTTTAAATAATTCGGGTATATCTTTTAAACTAACACTAGTAGAGAAATGGGTTCTCCCGGCGCTTTATATATACTTATAGAGGCACTAAAAAGCGTCGCAAGTACTTTTACCGACGCTTGTAAAAGTGCTCCCTTTGCTTGTGTCGCTAGGCTCTCTTACGATGCTAATTGTAGTGTCGGTATAGTACTATAAAAGCGTTGCTAAATGAGAGGCACTTTTCCACCACCTATTAAGGCACATAATTAGCGTCGCAAGATATCTGAAGTTCCTTGGAAGCTATCCCCATGTTCATTTTTGTAATTAATTCCTGTTACTTTTATAATATGTTATATAAAACTTAAAACAATACTAAAGATCGTAATTGTAAACAAACATTTAAAATATAATTCAAACTCTTCAACCACATCAAAGTGCCACAATACCATCATAACAAACAATGTTCTTGTAGTGGTTAATTCAAAAATTGAACTTGTATCAAAGTATCTAATATTGAGTATTGTATTCCATCAACCCAAATCAACTCTAAATCCCTCCAGCTGTACTTCCAAAATCAAACTTGTACTTCCAAAGCATGATCTGCAAAAATAAAACAAACAAAATAATGAGCAATGTAATGAAATAAAAGATATAAACTTCAAGAACAGCAAAAAAAAATAAAAAAAAATACTAATAGTTAATTTCTAAACTAGTAAAATAGAATATTATAGAACATGCACTAGGCTAAAGGCTCATCAATACATGCAGCAACAATTATCAATAGTAACATTAAACCAATACACATAAAAGTAATATAAGGTCTAATGAACAGAAACAGAACAAATTGCAAATAACAGACAGGTTGCAGACCAGTATACATAAAAGTAACATTAAACCAGCACTTCACAACAAAGGACAGAAACAGATCATCAATGCAGTACACATAGAAGTGATATAAGGTCCAATGAACAGAAACAGAACAAGTTGCAAATAACATAACATGTTGCAAACCAGTACACATAAATGTCACATTAGACCAGCACTTTACACAACAAAGGACAAAAACAGATCATCAAAGCATTATGTGATATAACGTCCAATGAAAAAAAGTGAAAACATAAAAGTGGTTCCAAAACAGAGTGCAAATAACATACAACATAAAAAAAATACCAGTTGTGTAAGATTTGATAGAAGAATCTCAAATGTCACTTAATGTCTGTTAGAAGCAGCATGCCCACCCTATATCAATCGTTTTTATGTTATTTATTTACAAAAATGAGCATCAAAGTTATAAGATGAAAAAGTTACACTTAATAGTACCTGAAAATATTCTTCTGAATCTGATTCATCTGAATTATCTGAATCAGAATCATCAAAATATCAGATATAGCGTTAATTATTCAAAACTTTTGATAGGGCTGGTAGTCAATAAGTATACAGACACCATATACTACTGATTCAAATATGTGATTTGATAGTACTCAATAGGTACTAGACACAAAAATCTTTTTTTCTATCTGTATACTTATGTTTGGACTCAAGTACTAGGAAAAAATCTAAAATAAAACATGACTTTAGCTTAAAGACCCACAAAGCAGATCTTGAGAAACCATAATAATAGAACATTAGCTAGCAGCTCTAACAATTGAGTTCAAAAGTAAACTTAAAAAATTCATGTGAAATGATATAAAGATACATACCGTTATGTACAATAACTCATAACGTCCTTTGAATGAGACTTAATACTATCTCTTCACGAACACGAGCATGACTTTTAGTACCAGTCGTAGAGATAGGCTTCACCTTAGCTTTCTTATGTGACTCTTTATTGGATTTGCTTCTCTTCTACAAAAGCATATCATAAAAGTGTTTGTTAAGTACAAAAAGTAAAAAAGTGTTAATAGCCAGATATATTTATAAGCCTAGGTATCTATCAGATCCTATACTTCAAATCTTAAACCAAGTAAAAAATGCAGAATTTATAACATGAAGTCCAAAAATAAAAAATTAAAGTTCTGACAAAAAAAATCAAAACGCAGAATGAGAATCATACAAATAACTATACCTTTCCTTCATCTGACCTCCAAAAATTGACTAGGCTAATCCACTGATCCTTTTCCACATCTTCAGGGTAATTATCATGCAGTGTAGTAATATTTTTTATCATCGTCATACCACTTTCCTTTCAAGTAGCATTTGTAGTCCACTAGTGCCTCCATTTATGCCCAATAGGGCAATAGATTTCAATATCCATTTCTCAAGTGATTTGGGATAAAGGAACTGATCCTAACAAACAAATGAAAAAAACACCAGCAACCAGCACATGTAATTTAAAATGTCATAGTGTAAGCTTTCAAAAGATTTACTAAAAATATTAAGAACTTAAAAGGTTACCTGAACTTCTTTAAATATGATCGTTTGGTTGTTCCGGTTGCTGCCTTTTTTGAAATGATCCCATCTTGTATAACTTTAGGAGCAAACTTTTCCATTTCTCGCAATTGTCCCACAAAAAGAGCCTAATAACCCTCCTTCATCTCCAATTGGTTGGTTCTCTTTATTGACGTCAACAACAATGTGATTCCCATCAGACAGATTCCACACTTCAGCTAGAACAGTTTTTCCACGCCTTCGATTACCATGAGAGTCTGTTATCATTTTTGAAAAATTAAGATTTCTCACTACCATTATAAGTCAAATAATGTTCAGCTATGCAATTTTTAAAGTACCTTGTATAGTGTACTCATAGACTCTTCCTTCTGAATTTTCATCCCAAGATCCATTAAAAGTTCTCATATTTAAGCTGCAGGAACCAGCTTGAAAATGTTCCTTCTCCCTTGCAGTATCTCCCTCACTAGTAGTCATTCGCAATTTCTTCTTTCGCATAGCCATATCCCTTAAAACAAATGAGATACTAACGTATGATGTTAAAAAACATCACACAATGAATACACAAAAATATACAGAACTGCTTAATTAGAGCAGCAAATGAATACATAAGTGATAAACAAAGTAAGGTATTCATCAGAGTGAGACTAGGAAACTGGAAAACTGAAGAATCGTATAGCTTGGATTGTAAGAGCTAATTCTGGTGCATTTGCATTTTATTGCTTTTTTTTGAATCACAATCATCTGATCTTTATAATTTTTTTGTTTGTATATCTGAGATTAAAACTGAACTTGCAACTCATTACCTATCCCAAGTCGCAAGTTCATAAAGATTTACACACCCATAGTAAAGGGAAATCCTAATACTAAAAAAGCTCTCAAAATTGAAACTGATTTCTTTCTCAAATTGTGAATATTTTGATAAAGGCTCAAAACTTCAACTTACTTCTCCACAACTCTCCCATAACCTTTTTGGGGCAGGATTTTCTGGCCCTCAGTCTCGTTGTTCAAATGTATAATATAACCACCCACCCCAGACTCCAACAAGAGTGGTTTTCACATATATTCTGGACATTAACTATATATTTACATATACAAGTAATACAAACAAGTGTGTGTAGTGTGTTTATCTGTATAAGAATTCTCACACATCTATCTACTATCATCTTACATGGCAAATTAAGCAATTGAAATCAGCTTCAACAAAGAATACTAAGAAACAAATTATATCTGAACACTGGAAAAACAGAGAGAAGTTTCAGAAAAGGGAAGCAACCATACTATCTTCAATCTAAGAGCTGAATAATTGAAAATTTATCCTAGGCCACCATGGACTTATTTTCCGCAATCACTAGACTAACAGTAGTGGAATTGTTACGAACTTCAATTAATCAATCATTAAACCGTGAGGATACACCAATTTTATCAGAAATTACAGATTGTTTATCTAAATTAAAGAGGAGAATCAACTCACCTACTTGCTCCCAGGAGAACTCTTTACGGATAGTTGATTTGAGAGAACCAGGAGAACTCTTTAATGAGAGTTGAGAAGCTTCAACAGCATGGTCGATCGATGCTGAGACTACGTCCGCGATGAGAGATGTTACGCTAGATCGATCTGATGCTGAAATGGAGATGACGGATCGGCGATGAGAGATCTCTTTTAGGATGAATTAGGGATTTCCTTGTTTTAGGAAGAATGAAGCTGCCGTTTCAATATGACGTGATAGATACAAAGTCAGTTTTTTTTAATAATGAGAATAGTGCTGATTTAGGCCGTTAGCCGCACTTTTACTTGGAGTTAAAATGCTTCCTTCAATGTGTTACGTTGGAATAATGCCTAATAGTGTCTAATGTAAGAAAATATATACAATGTTAGCACTTTTTAAAAATGCGTCGTTATTTAAGCGCCACAAAAAAGTGTTATCCTAGTAGTGTAAATCTATTGAATAATAATATTGATAGATTACAAAATAATAATAATCCTAATAAATGTCCAAAAATTTCTATTGAGCATGCTTCATTATAAGTCCGAAAATAAGTCCCAAAATAACCTAAAAACATTCGAAAATTCATGCATATGGTTTAAACAAAAAATAATTCATGTTTAAACATGGATATCAAACATATAAACAAAACAAATTTCAAATTGTATCAAACTATAATTTAAGCATGCATATTGAACATCAAACTAAAAACAAAAAATAAATTTTATCAATTTTAAGCATGCAAATTAAGTATTCTACGAACATATATTTCAATAAATTCAACAAGTAGAGCATGCATATGGAAATTTAAGTATACATTTGAGTATATAGAACATGCATTTGGGTATATTTAAACAAATAGAGCATGCTTTTGAATTACAATAATAACAAAACATGCATTTTTTGGTATTTTAAAAAAGTTATAATCAATTATTAAAAATACGAAAAAATTAATAAAAGTTAGTACACATAACCTTAGTCAAACGAAGAGAAGAGAAGGCGGTTTCAAGATAAAACTACCAGCGGCGAACGGCGCATGATGGTGGCGGTGGAGCACTGACCTGGGCGGTGGGGGGAAGAGGAAGAGAGAAGGCAGAAGAATTTTTGGGGAAAAATTAGGTTTTGGAAGCGTAAGTTGGAAAAAAATCTAAGTGTCGTTTATATAGAAGCTTGTCACGGGCGAGTCCATGACAAAGCCCGTGACAAAATTCAAAATTTTGAATTTTGAATTGAATCCGTCAGAAGCCAAAAATCGAGGCCGGTGTCGGTTGACAGGTTGATCGGGTTTGTCACGGACAGATACGTGACAAATCCGTGACAAAATTCAAATTTTTGAATTTTGTCACGGATCCGTCCGTGACAAACCCGTATTTAGCCGTTTTGTCAGCACCTCGGGAAGGCCGGCGAACAGAGGAATAAATTCGATTTGTTACGGCCTGATCCGTGACAAATCCGTGACTATTTAATGTATAAATAAGTGTTGTCCGGTCCAATTTTTGTGTGCAAAATAAATGACTAATCCAGAACCAATTGACTAGAAGATGATGTGTAGAAGTATGCAACAATTGAAGCAAGTTACACAGCTGATGGAGCCGAAAAGTGCGGAAGCAGTGCAGAAAATCCGTGAGCTGATGGCTAGACCCCTTGAAAGCTTTGACAACATTAAAGATGACGAATCAGACTCAATCAGCTACTCAAACGGAAAAAACTTGCGTCGCAAACTTTTTTGTGTGGAAGAATGTTCAGAGTATATGGAACCAATAAACGCAGAAGCTCAAAGGAAAATTAACGAGTTGTGGGCTACGCCTCTTGATGAAAGCTTCGAAGATGATGAATAAATTTGTGTTTGTTTGTTTGCTTATCAATAATGTTAGTTAGTTGATTGTGATAAAAAAATTGTGTGTTTTCTACTTATCTTTTAAATTTAATAAGTAAATTTGTGTTAGTTGTTTATTAAAATTCGAAATTATTATAATATTCGACTAAGTTATGTTAAAAAAAACTCCGATTATAAAAATTAAATTAATTTTAATTTTCAATTTTCGAATTATTATAATTTTTTATTTTCGAATTATTAAAATTAATTTTCAATTTTTGAAATTTTTTATTATTAATTAATTTACATTATTTCATATACAATTATAATAATTGTATATTAAATATGGAATTTTGAATAAAATTCGAATTATCTTAAGTAGAATGATAAAGAAAACAAATCAAATATTCTTAAGAGTAATATAATGATGATGAAAACAAATGAAATATTCCAATTAAAAAATTTAAATTCAAACAATACAATTAATCACTATCAGAATCGTTATTTTCTTCATAGAAACTACATCTTCTTTTGTATCTTTGTCATCATCTATCCATTCTTCTTCCTCCTGTTCAGCGTCTTGTTGTTCTTCATACAGTTGAACAATTTTGCGCTCAGATGGGGGTGTTGGGCGCGGAAGGTGTGTTTCTGGCATGAGCTCAACATGTCTGCCATTTGGATCACTTAATTGAATGTTATGGTTGACCGTCTCCGCAATAGGCGGAGGTTGGAAAAATTCTTGCTGAAAAGCATCTAAATCAACGTCCTTGTGTTGAGTCTGCGATACAATTTTGCTCGGACGAACAGTACATGCACACACTCAAGGATTCTGTGTCCGCTTGGTTGAAGGGTATTCTGCACAATAAACCTGGGCTGCTTGTTGAGCGAGTATAAAAGGCTCATTTTTCCGATACACGTGAGAGTGGTTGACGTCAATCTCCTGTGCGAGCGATGTGGGAACTTCAAGTTCACAACACACCCTCCCATCAATCGCGAGCATCATGCTGATAACGTGTTATAAACGGCTTGTGGATATTGTCCGCTTTGGTATGTACTTTAGGACTTCACAGCTTTAAAACGCATCCACAAGTAAGGACTTTAGGCCCTGCTTATTAGCACGCACACCATCTCCTGTGCGAGCGATGTGGGAACTTCAGTTTCACAACAATATAAAATTACATTATTTTTTTGCACTAGTCTCAAAATATTTTTCTGAGCGCAGAAATTTATTGTTTGTAAAATTGTTTTTTTTGGGATGATAATTTGTTTTTCCATGACCCAATTATAGTGGATAAAATTGTTCGTGCGAAAGATTTTGGCAATGTCTACAAATAGTATACTTTTTTTACTTGTTTGAAAACATTTGTATTTGTACTAGATAGTTAAAGTATGAACATTTATTTTTTTCAGAGTGAATGTTTTTCTTGTGGTCTACTTTTGTTCGTGTCGGACATTTCTTGCCTATAAAATTGGATTTTTTCCATCAACATTTTTTATTCGTGGTGTCACTTTAGAGAAAAAAGTTATCCGAATGACGGGTTTTTGAAACATTATAATTGAGGAAGCGGTCCAGCCTAGCTGGTCGCCGACTCACTCTCCCTTACGGAAGGTCTCGGGTTCGAAACTCAATGGAGTGAGTTTCAGCCCTAATTACTCCAGGCCCCCTAGGCCCCAGACGCCCCTGGAGTTAAAAAAAACATTATAATTTTTTACTTTGTCAGAAGTTATAACTCTAACTATGTCAAAAGTTATAAGAGTTAGCAGTGTTAAATATTTTTTTTTCCGCGAAAAAACCACCAGAGAAGGTGGAGCAAATGTCGGGGGCGTTTGCCGATTGATATTATTGAGAAAAGAGAGTAAAAAACGGAACAGGGGGGACCAAACCGAAACCCATTCCGTCAAAACCCCTGGGACTAATTACAGTCCAATAAAAGGAATTCCTGATGAGTCATCTAAACAAGCCCTTTTAACAGTCGGAGGTAGATCATTAAATTTGGGAAAACATTTGAAAGAACCGTTCTGTGAATCTAAATGGTCCAGTTGGTGTGCGACCCCGTTGCCCTCCCTGTGAGTGTGGCGAAAAACAAGCCCGTGATTGATCATGGCCCATTGGAGACGATCCGTCAACCCACTGCATCTGCTTTGTTTTGCGCCCTTCCTCACCGTTGCAATTGCCGCCG